CGCTTTTTGTCCTTTTCCTTATTTTTCATTGTTTTCCTTTTTGTTCTTTCAAATGTAGCCTCGAATCCAGCACTGTCTTGCTGCGTGACTCGCACTGCAACGCCTTGCGACCATGCAGTCTGTATACTGCGTCACCACATGACGTCGCGCAACTGCCTTCACTCCCTCACACATTCTCTGCGAAAGCACAATCCATGCGCAATGGGGCCTGTTCCCCCTTTTCACGCGCATCGCTAGGCCTCCTGCTGACCTCTGAAGTGCTCACTAGAGGCATCGCCATTGTTTTATTCTTATTGTATTGAGTTTATACACTTTATACATTGTCTGATGTTGCAACCCAAATGGCAAGGGGACACTGCTCAGAAATAGGATCATTTATGGACTACATAGTTGAGGCCGCCGAGGCCTGTCTCTAAAACGACAACAGGTCCAACGTGATTTCTGTAAGATGAACCGCATGAAAACAGGATTCTGCACATGTGCCAAACATGCAACGCGAGCACGTGATCAGTGCTCGTGTTGCTTTTTGCTCAAGTGATGGATCGGAGCAGTCCTGGCATCATGTCGAAAGTCAAAGAAACAAAGCACTGCAGAACACAAAATAGCGATGGCCTCCAACTTAGACACTTGCTGAAACAGTTGAGATTTTGATTAGCCGAAACCCATCAAAACTGGATAAGAATAAACAAACGCAACAAACTAGTACCATGCAACGAGCAATCCAGGCCCCAGCCCCAGATCTATTGTTAAAAACACACATAAAACGACGTTCACAGATCACCCCAAGAAATGCAAAACACACGTGGGCTGCGGTCGCATGCCTTGGCTGTGTGTAACCCGCTTTGAACACCGAACATAGAACACTCATAAAACCCCGGTGCCCTGTGAACGCTTTCATGACGCGTAAATGGTCCACAAGTTGCGATTGATCACCGCCTGGTGGCTACTTTCTTCTCGCCCTCATGGACAACTTGGACCTGGCTACTGCGAAACGAACCAGCGCATCCTGTGTACGGAACATTCGTGAACGCACCCTTACAATAGCGATGTGTTCTACAACAAACTTTCTTGTGAAAGGAGGTAAACAATCGTCTCCAAATAATTATCACGCAAACGCAAAGCTTACCAAAACTTCCCAAGCGTAGCCTTGCCTCTGCATTCACCAAACTTTGCCCGGACTCTCGACTCCTTGGACTTAGCCAATTTCGGAAAAAAAGGAAACAACAAACAACATAAACCCGCAGGCCCGAATGCAAAACAATATTGTGGAACACTCTTGCTTGACAATCTTTTGGGTCACTCTTGCTTGACATTCTTAAGGAAGCTCTTTTGTAGGACAGTTTCGGGCGACACTCTTGCGGTCACTCTTGCTTGGCGCACCTTTGCGAGATGCTGGGACGCTATTCTTGTGGGACTAATGCTTTTGTGCGGGGCATGACACCCCACGGCTCTCAGAAGCGACTCCTTCCAAAGCGGCAGGAGAGTTCGAGACTTGCTCCAACCATCTTGTGTCAAGTAGGCAAATATCCGTCCAAAACGAGTATTCGAACACCACATCCTCGAAAAGCCATGTTCCAAACATCCAAGCCAAGTACTTTGATGCATTTTGTATCGCGCAGCCTCCATGAGAGCGTCCAGTCTCGTCCGAGGCTTCCAAAGCATGCTCACAATCCTCCAACAGCCCGCTGACCTCTTTGCAATGACCTCTACGGTGTCCCCTCACGGTCCCCCACAAAAGACTTTGGCACCTTCTCGTCACCCACATCACTCAAAACAGCAATTTTAGCACTTGTGAAGATGCAGCTTGGCCCGCGAGGATGTAGATCAGTGGACAACAAGGGCACGATGCTTGTAGGAACGGCCGACGAAACCGCTACGCTCTCGATTGGTGACTTTCGTGGGAGCTGTTGTCGTCTAACGATGTGAAGGAGAATGGAGAGGAAAACGAAGTCGAGGAAACGAAGCGCTCAAAGCTCACACGTGCGCAATTAGAAACTGCCGAGCACCATGTCAGTGGTATGACACTGCATCAAATTCATGTAGGAGGCTTTGTTCATTGCGTGCCCTCTGGATCTGTATTTATTCTCAAGCAGGAAGAACAATGGAAGAACAACTGTGGTTGACCCACGTTTCCAGAAATTCATGGTGAATGATATGCGGCGCGCCGTACATGGAGTGCTGGGTTTGCATGTTTATGTGAGGTCAGGCCAAGGAATCTACAGGGTTGATGAGGTCATGAGAATGAGGATCAATACAAACCGGTGAAATTCGATGGAGGTTCAATGAAATTTGGAAGCTGGGAAGTGCGCTGAAGGAGTACATGACGAAGATCAACTGTCGATAAAACAAAAAAATGCCTCGCCCTCGGCGCACGACTACATGGACCACTACTTTTCTGATCAAAGACTGCTTTTGAACTGTTGAGAGACTCTACCTGAGAAGAGGCAAGCAACCGCTGAAAAAATGTAAAGAATGGGCGCCCCTAGGGGTGGTTTCCATATATGTTCTCTAGCTCTCAATCTCGCTATCTCTCTACCTCTCTCTCCGATTTTATCCAGCCGCCCATCCGCCCACCCATTGTACGTACTAGCCATCCATTAATCTGTCTGCACCATACACGCGTCCATCTCATGCATCTCACATCTACTTATCATCCCTTTACATCCCGCCACATCTCTCTGCGTCTCTGTCTCCCTATCTCTTCAGCTGGTCTCTCTGTATCGCTATCTCGACACTCTCTCCCCTTATCCCCTTATCCCTCCATCCATCTACCCACACATCCAACCAGCCATCGACCTACCTACAAGTGCTCTCAAACCTGCGCATCCTCGACATTACCACGACCCCAAAACTACAACTGTTTGAAACTCTCCGCCAGCCTTTCCCCTCTGCTAACACAAACTTTCGAAAGGGGGTAGCCCACAGGCGCCATGGAATCTGGCGTGGGGATAGCATCGTTTCTAGTTCCTCTTGAATACATCTCTGAACTGATTGTTTGACTTCGCAATTTCAATTTCCTGTCGTTCCCTTTCAAGAACAATTCAAGGAATTCCTTTCATGTCATTTCATTTCCTTTTGGATCCCTTCACTGAAGACCATCCCTCAATTATTCATTACACTACAAGATGCATCAAAATCACGCTGTACTTCCAATCCTGGTAAACTATTTTCTTCGCACTTGGCTTGAGGTAGTTTCCCCATCTATAGTCAAGACTTTCTCATATAGAAAATATTCGACAATCTTTGGCAAAACAATTGCAACAGTCTTGAAGACTGTCTTGAACTTGCTGACCACTCATGGCAAGTATGTGTCACTACTTCTTTGAGCCTCAGCTCCTAAGCTAGTCACTCCCATGCTGCTTTTCCGGGCATGAAGCTTGCTGCTTCCGGCCTCCGATAAACTGATGTTCCAGAAGAAGCAACTTGCCTAGCAGCAATGGCCTCCACCTACTAGCGATGGCCTCCACCCTAGTAGCGATGGCCTCCAACCTGCTAGAAGCAACCTAGAGGAAGCTATTTTCAACTTGGCCCCATGCATCAACTCAACAGCCCAACCAGGCGATATCCATTGAAGAGCCTCGTTGGGTATGTATGACTTGCTCAGCGCTCTTGGCTTTGTCTTCTGGGCGCTTCTTTGCGTCGCTTCCTTTCCTTCCATCGCAAGAGTTAGTCGCAACGCGAGCCACCGAAAACAAAGCTCCACACAAATACAAGTGGCTTTCTTGATGCGCAACCTGCATCCAGCAAATACAAAAGGATGCACAATGTTTTAGCACTTGGGAATCAAACTGAATTAAACAGGTGGCCGTCAATCGGCCACCTAATCTTCACTAAATGAAATATTATCAGACCCGTGCGGGAGAGCGGAGACTGACGACACGTGCCATATGGTTCCCCCATTCTTCAGCGTTCACCTCTACGATGTTCCTTCGTAAAGCCGAAGGCCTGGCAACATGGAACACGTCATAACATGGAACAAACAACTGCAAGTTATTCCCAAGGAGGCTTTAGTCATTACTAGAAAGCTTCAAAGACATAGTAAAAGGCTTCGTTACTACAGGTGAAACGATTCCCAGTGAAACGATTCCCAAGGAGTAGCAATGCCCTTGCTACTAGTAGCGATGCCCTTGTTACTAGTAACTTCTTGTTCCTAGTAATGCCAGGAGCTACTAGTAGCATTCTAGCTATCTACAAAATGCACATGCTTGGAATGGCTTATGCATATTTGGCGTGCAACTGCCCAATTCAACATGAGCTTTTTGCAAACGCGTTCCTGCCGAAGTCTTGACGCATAACCAACCATGCCATACATATTCATGCACCAGCCAATGAGTCGAGAGGGTGGCTCGAACGGCTTAGCATTAGCCGCCAATCCAAAATAAGCAGCATCAAGACCGGTACAACAGCACAAAGGCTTTGCATGCCTTTGCCATCTCCTGTCCATTTAAAACGTTCGTCTCCTACGTCATAGCCCAAGTTTTGTGTCTTGAAGCATTTTGCTAGAAGCAAACGAAACCTAATAGGAATGGCCTCCAACCTACTAGTTACTAGTCTCCTAGGTCATAGCCAAAGCTTTTGTGAAGTCTGGCTAAGATGTTCAAAAGGGTTGGCTCAAAAAGGTAGCCTAGCACGAAGAGTTTGCATACGAAAGACTGTTTGCTTCTCCATTATTGAAAGCCACCGTTCGAGCAACCACCGCCAGATGTGGAATCATCTGTGTCGGGTCAGTTGGCTGAATTCTAGCTTCATCTTCAAGCCACCAAATTCTTTTTGAGGCTGCTCAGCTGCTGCTGCAACAGAAAGCAAGGTCCGCAAATGGCCGGCCCGGATGACAAACATATCCTAGACCTGTACACTAGTTGATATCGAAATCATCTTTGCCAAAACCGCCAGCACTTTGACTGGAGCAATGATTCCATGTTCCGGAGGCCATACAAAGTATGGCGAGCGTGCGCACACGGAAGAATTGGTGCCACAACTTTGAACACCCGTCTTGCTTAGTGCTTAGCTGATGTGACAGAATGGCCTCCGGCACAAAGGGCATGCCGGCTCTGGCCGCTGTTCCATCCAGGGTCCCAAGCAAGCTCTGCACAATACACGGTGATTGCAAGGCTTCAAAGAAAAAATCGCTTCTTCAGAAAGACAAATTGCACACAGATCTGGCTGACGTTCATTCAAAAACCCATAAGGTTCCTCGTGTAGCTCTGCCCTGGGAATTTCTGCAAGCGGCGATCCGCTGCTACCGAGCCAGGAATTGAAGTCATCTAAGCAACAAATTTTCACGCGACTGGTCAGGTGTGAAACATTGCGGGTAGCTTCTACCAACATGGGACATGAAGCTCTCCAACACCAAATCTCCACATTCCAGCCTCGTCTGGCAACGTTCTCCACAGTGTCAACAAGCTGATCATCATCTATACAAAATGCAAAGACCTCTCTGTTTGGATCCGCCCGCCACCTCTCAAGGTTTTTAAGGTGCTGCAGGACACATTGAGCCACTGAGCTCCACTCTACCCAGAAACCACACGAATTCCAGATCTCCCAAAGGGACTCGTCAGTTCTCAAGTTGCCAACTATGCGCAGGTTCACCTTTCTGGCACCAGCCACAATACTGGACAGTTTCAGTATACCGTCTCTCTGGTCACAATCACCGGTCAAAGTCAATCCTGCCATATTGGAGTTGACAAGAATGTTGGCACTGAGCTCGGTCTCCTAGCAACAAGGAAGGACATCTTGAAGTATCAAGCCAATATGCATATACATATGTATATATGTGGACATATGGCTCCCCCCGCCCCAAAACCTAAAAACCTCTAAATGTTTCACTGTAATTTACACATCCTTAGAGCTCTATGTTGCTACTGAGGCATCAAATAATTTAGCCTTTTTGGCCAAACCAAACACCGATGAGGTTTTCAATATAATTTTGGAGGAGTGCTGGATGCATGGGCGCAAGCAATGAAAACTGCACACTAACGCTGTAAGAAATATCACTAAAGCTACCAAATTGGATGCACCTGATGCAAAAACAGCACATCACAGGCAACATACGCACTTTGGTAAAGGGCAGCACATACCCAGCCCTTTTGATGACCTGTTGACAGCAATACAAAACGACTTCTTACCATGTCATAGAGTCTATTTTTGGCCACAATAGTTTTTCATGGGCTAAGGTCACCAAGTGTCAAGCTTATCGTGAGGTAACGCACACCAGGTATGCAATTTCTATATCATATCCCTCGCAATGTAGCTTCTCTCTTGAACAAATTTATGGCGTATCAACTTGTTTGAGAGAGGCGAGAGATCTCTTCAGTAGTGTAGCCTTTAATACCTCTCAACCCTGCTGTTTTGTTTCGTCGATAGTGCTGGGTCAGTACGAACAAACAGTACTAGATCCTTCACCACAAAACTCAATGGTATATCTGTCTTTGTATTGCAAAATCCCTCTGAATCGCGTGGACTCTTGGCACGAGGTTTTTGAAGTTAGTGTCATGTGATACCATCATTAGAGTTCAGATTGCTCTGCCGAACTCATACTGATCATAATGAAGAATAATACTTACCGGCACACAATAATCCAGAACACATTTAGTAGATGAACAAAATAGAAAAGATGCTTCTTTCTCACTATCTGTGGTTTACCGACAGTGCTAAAAAACTCCTGGCACTGCGATCTCAGATATTTGTTTGCTAAAGAAGATTGATCCTTCCTTGGTACTTGATGTTGCATGTTTACAATTACAATGTAATCTGGATCCAAGGACCGAAGCCATTAGAAGAGAAAGAGGTGCCAAAAGACACATGTGGGTTAGTAGTACATATCGTTGTTGTCTGTAATAAATTTTGAACACCTACAACATGCGAAAACGATATATATATCTAATCATGTGTATCATATAATATATATCCCCTGTAAAATTCACACGACAACCCCTGGGGGGCATTTTGTACCTACAAATGCGGCACCCCAAGTCCAAACCAACCAATCCATCTATAAAAACAGGCCCCCCAAGATAGAAACCTTAAGTCTATAACATTGGGTTGGGGGTTGGCCATAGTGGGCTCACAGAAACTTGCTAAGAAAAGTGCGCTCCCGAAAATCAACCCCTCCAAGACACACAAAGAGTCCAACAAATGCCATGCGTCATCCCAAGCATTTCCCGATGTGTTTCCCGATGCGAGTTCCGATGCACTTCCCGATGCGCCCACCTTTTCCTGACAGAATCTGACTCTCACTGATTCTGAATCCCCACGGACCTGATCACAACATGGTTTGATTTCCAAAATGGTTTGGTGCTGGAGTTGAATGTCAAAACAGTTTGGCGCCTGAGATCATGAGAAAAGAAGCCTTTGTACGTGAGGACCGCAAACCTAAGGATCGATAAAACAAAAGCACTTCCACAAAATGCTTCAACACCCTGAGCAGATGGTTTGGGAGTTAGGGAGAAGCATGGCTCCTGAATATGCCCAAGGATTCGGAGTTTTTGATTTTCTCAAAGCCATCACCCTTACCACTCTTCCAAAATGGGACCCTCCAGGGGCCCTGAATTTTGTAGAGATTGACTGGGCGGTGGGGGGGAAGGGTGATTCCTGAATATGGCCACATGGTTGTTTAACTTTTTGAATTTGTCAAAACCAGTAGTTAAATGTCTTGACTCCAAACCAGCTTTCTGATGGAGTTTCAAAGTCCAAAACGGTTTGACACCCAAGTTTTGACACCCAATATCACCCTTCCCCCCCACCGCCCAGTCAATCTCTACAAAATTCAGGGCCCCTGGAGGGTTTGGTTTTAGAAGAGTGGTAGGGGTGATGGTTTTGAGAAAATCCAAACAAATAAACCCTGTGCTGGAGTTCAACAGCAAAAAGTTAAAACACTAGCTACTTTGAGGTTCGCTACGTTGACCCTGATTCCTTTGCCTGATTCCATGCTCGTGTATTCCTACCCAAGCTTCATGGCTGATGACCTAGGAACACCTTTTAACGATTGAAAAGAAAACCTTGAGTTTCCACTGCGAACTAATGACTGGGACGACTTGCATCGCGCAGCCATTGTTTTGTAGTGGAAACTCAAAATGATTTAGAAATAGTTTGAGGTGGGTCCTCATTTACTCAAAATTAATTCTATCTAAACAATATTGTACAGGTGGGTGGTCCTAGACTCAAACTTACTTAGAAGTAATATCTATCATATGAAAATTATTTTGCACCACCTAGACGGTTTTAGTGAAAATTAATGAACATTATTTGCGTACCACCCCCTACATGGCTTGCCAAATAATTCTTTTGGTTAATTATTTGGAAACATATTTAACTAAGAGACTCCCACCTCCAAAAAATTCTTAGTGATTGATGTATTGCTTTCTCTACAAAATGGTTTCTGTCTCTCTACGAAATTATGGTGGGCGGGTGCACACCCTTGTGTCAGCAGGAAGATGCTTAAACAACCATCTCTACAAAATGGGTTCTAACCCTCTACAACATTATGGTGGGTGAGTGCACATGCTCGAGTCAACGGAAAGATATGTAAAAAAATCGTTTCTATAAAATGGACCGTGCCTTGCAAATCATGTTTTGTTTTGTGCTAACATGCTCAAAATCTACCCTGATCACTCTACAAATCAGGAACACCCAGGACAGTGATTCTGCAGAAAACCACTGTTTTCTCTACAAAATGGTTGTTTCCAACACATGGGTTGACCACATTTGTAGAGGAAATTCCACAGGCGATATATAAATATATCATCACCAAATCACTGTAGCCGTACAACTCTCCTCTTGCAGCTCTTGCCCAAGGCCTGGCCTGGACAGCAACACGATGTGACAGGTGAGCATCGACACAAACCCATCATTGAAAGGTGACTTGTGACGATGCTTTGGTTTTCAACTCTCATCGCAAGTCAAAGTGTTGTCAGCCAGCTCCTGCTTTCAGCTTCTGTGCTTCCCGCTTGCCATGCAGTACTGTTATCGATGAAGACGTTGACCGCATGGCAATCTTCATCAGGCAGGTCCTGAGATGGCGCGAAGTTTCGAAACGGACATTTTAACGGGGATCTCGTCCGCTTCGACTGGCAGATGATGCAGGAAACACGTATTGATAGGAATTTACCGCGGGGCACCCTGCAGTTTTGTATGCTTTGGCCATGCGGCCATGCGTCTGCCGCATCTGCCAGCTTTGTACAGGCGCCGCTGAATATCCGCTGGCATTATGGAATGGTTCAAGACAGGAAGCCCTCGTTGCCCCCGTTTTAGAATGGGAAGCTCTCATGTCCTGTGCAGGGTTGGATAGGTTAGGCAGGGGAGGTATGGTAAATAGATTTGCGCAGCTAGCTGCCGTTGCGTTACACACTTCAGGGTCCAAGCGTGCAAAAGGAGTGTCACTCAATGGCTTGATGGCAGTGCGTTGGACATACAACGTGCAGATTTCGCGGCGGGGTTGGGGGCACGCAAAAGTTATTGAGCTTGCGACCCTTTCTTGCGCCTCCTTGCATGCTGCTTTGTGTTTGTGCCTTGTTTCGTTGCTTCCGCGCTTCCTTCTTTGCTTTTGTTTTACAGAAAAACCAATAACAAAAAGGAAACAAGAAAAGAAGCGAAGGAAGGAAGCGTAGAAGCAAAACAGAAAGCAATGAAGACGAGCAACACATAGAATCGTGGAGAAGCAGAAAAGCACAACGCGGTAAAGCAAAGAAGCAAAGGGACCCCGAAAAAGATGGACACTGTCCCTCCCTGATGTGTGTCCCACCAAGAATCTGGGCGTTCTCCGCGGGAAAATAGCCACGCTGTCTCGGTGATTGCCTCCCTCAGGCATTGCAGCTCGCCCTCCAATTCGCTTTTTGAATCGACTTAGGTTAGAGGCCATCACTTCTAGGATGAAGGCCATCGCTATTAGGTTGGAGGCCATCGCTGTTAGATTAGAGGCCATCGCTTCTAGGATGGAGGCCATCGCTGCCATCGCTTTAGGTTGGAGGCCATCGCTATTAGGTTGGAAGCCGTTGCTGTTAGGTTGGAGGCCAATGCAATTTAGGTTGGAGGCCATCGCTATTAGATTGGAGGTCATCGCTTCTAGGGTGGAGGCCATCGCTATTAGGTTGGAGGCTATTGCTATTAGGTTGGAGGCCATCGCTATTAGGTTGGAGGCCATCACTATTAGGTTGGAGGCCATTGCTATTAGGTTGGAGGCCATCGCTACTAGGTCGGAGGCCATCGCTCCTAGGTCGGAGGCCATCGCTGTTAGGTTGGAGGCCATTGCTGTTAGGTTGGAGGCCATCGCTGTTAGGTTGGAGGCCATCTATATTAGGTTGGAGGCCATCGAAATCAGGTTGGAGGCCATCGCTATTAGGTTGGAGGCCATGGCTATTAGGTTGGAGGCCATCGCTATTAGGTTGGAGGCCATCGCTATTGGGTTGGAGGCCATTGAAATTTAGGTTGGAGGCCATTGCTATTAGGTTGGCATTTGAACTTTAGGTTGGAGGCCATGCTACTAGGTTTCTTTTGCTATTACAGTAGGTTGGAGGCCCTCAGGCATTGCAGCTCGTCACAATTGCATTTTGAATCGACTTCTGGCAACATGTCAGCAGTCCTCTGAGAGCCGAATGTCGTGGTGGTTGTGGCAGTGGCAGTACATTTCGACATGCTCTTGATTGACCCTGAAATGGCACTGCGTCATGGAGGGGATCTGCAGCTGGCCAACCTCCGCCAAGTAGGAAAGCAACTCTCGCCGTCGAGCGAGCCTTAGATTCTCACCCATCAAAACGCCAAAGAAACCTCGTCATAGCGTGCGTTGGATAGACCGACCCAACCTGAGAGCCATGGAGCCTCAAAGATTGAATTTAGCTAGGAGCAAGGATGCTACTAGGGGCTCCTGGCCTTACTAGGTTCTTTCCAAATCGTTATGCACCAAGGAGCTCGGTGCTCACCTTCACTCTGCAAAGGATGATTTCACGCTGCTCCCGCTCAGCTCTTCGGTCTTGAGACCCTTGAGACCCTTCCGCTTTTTCCATGACTGAAAGCGCCGTACTGAGGGCGTATTAGAACAACCATTTCGAGCCAAACTGAGAGCTGTGCTGGTTTTGGGCGTGTGAAAAGGGAACACCAAAGAAATCAAATCTCAAAACAAATCCAAACGAATTGCACTCACAAGGGCATCTCTTCACGCAACTCAAAGTGGACACCTGAACAACCGGTAGCTCCCGAAGGTCTTGCTTCACCTGCGCAAACGCCCGCGGAAAGAGCCCTGCTGACAGGTACCGGATGTACACTGAAGTGTGAGATGCTCAAGCCATGTGTGCAGGTACAAGCACGTTTGACGCTGGGCAATTAACCAGTGAGTTAATGTGTCTTGCCGAATTTAACAGTTTCAACGCAAAGCTCTGTTTGAGTATCACTAGTGAGAAGCGCAAATCTGTCAGTTCGTCGTTGCCTGGCACACTTAAGAGATGTTCAAAGACATTCTTCCGAATTGCGCTTAATTATCGTGCGAAGGGTGGGCTTTGCCAGGCTGCGCCCAAAGCCAGAAAAGCAACTGAGCTTTTGTTGGAAAGTAAAGCTCCGAACAAAAGCATCTGCCCTGTTTAGAAAGTCGCCAAACTGGAGCAAGCATCGGCCGGGAAGTTGCCAACTCCTTGGACGGAAAGGACGCAATCAAACCTAAGCCGTTAAGGCACTGCCCGATGGATCTGCAAACTGCCATTGGACAGTTTGCCAGGGACAGCTGCTGCATGCCGCCTGTGCTGCCTGTGCTGCCTGCTTCAACGCATGGCCTGGCTCCTCGACTCGCGCCAAGCGTTCTCGGCCGTCCAAGCACGAGCAACATCCTTCCAGACTTCGGTATGGACTTCGAAATAGATCGTCTTGGGAAAACTTTGGGAATCGGGTCCTTTTGGGAACAAGTCTTGGAGGGCTTCAAGGGCCATGCTCTATGTGAGTGGCGCTCGCTATTCATTACGAAACTCAAATACACTATCTATTCTGCAGGCGGCTCTATCTACTTTAGTAAACTATGAATAAACAATGATCAAAACGTTAGTATGAACAAATGGAATAGCTGGAAAGATATCGTGTTAATGTTTTGGTATCGCTTTCCAAGGAAAATCACACATTCTATCATTCCATCCCTAGAAACAACAGCAGCCTGTGCCAATGTCGCTGTCAGCTTCATTTAGCTTCATTCATCTGAGCCAGGGTCTTGCCAGGCATATTTTCGTAGGTTTTGGTATCGTTTTTGTTATCGTTTTGGTATATTTTGGTATCATTTCTTTTTGCTTCGTTCCAACATATCATTTCTTATAACACACCACACTTAGAATGAAACGGTGAAAAGCAAACACATCGACAGGATATCTCCCGTCGATATCACAAGCAAAATATCAGTGTCTTCGTTGGCACCTGCCCTATCTCTGCTGCAGGTGCCCCTTGCTACGAGTGAAGGGGAGTGCCACACGTATGCAAATAATTCGAGTGGAGTCTCAAAGAGCGGGACACACACACACGTATATACTTGTCCTTTCCGACGAGCGCACAAACAAGGTGAACCCAAACAAGGTGCACCAAACTTGCACATTGCTTGCGCACATAGAGCACTGAAACAGGTATCGTTTTTTGTGTGTTTGGTATCGTTTTCCATGGTTTCTTCAACAATCTCTGAACATATTCCACATCTCTACATACTGCTGAGGTGAAACCTTTCGATAGTTGCTCACGTCGTGATGACTCAGGTAGCAGTAGGGTATACCGGTATACCTGATGCACGTTTCTTGCCAATCTTGCCAAGACTGTTTTCTTGTCTTGTCGATCGAACACTGGGCAAATCAACTAGCAATAACTTTTTGAGCTCTGCTCTGCTCTTGTTTTGCTCTGCTTTCTGTAGAACAAAAGCAAGCTGAAGCCAACGAATGATTCTCTGAAGGAATCCGAAGGACCAACAGCACGAATACACTCGTAAAATTCGTAAGGCCTCGGTCTTGACACTTCTTTGACCACTTCTGATTTGTGCTACTTGGGAAGGCCTTCTCTTTCACCTCCAAAGTCTACAGGTCTCATGTTTTCTTCTACTCTTTTCAACGTTCTTTGCCTTTACTCTTCCATTCTGGGTGGACTTGACGGTGCGGACGACCGGACTGCATGGAAAGTGTCACAAAATGTCGAGAGAATGAGCATTGCAAGATGGCATCACACACAAAAGGCAGCCGGTTGGGCCCAACCCCAGTGTAGGCCCCTCTCTTCCTCAGGGGTGCTGATTGGGCCATGGAAGCGACAAGTTGGCTTCTACAGCCGTAGAGCGCAGCCCCTAGTAGCGTCCTTGCTCCTAGTAGCGATGCCCTTGTTACTAGTAGCTTCTTGCTCCTAGTAGTAAGGCCAGGAGCCCCTAGTTGCTTCTTGCTGCTAGTAGCGATGCCTCGTTACTAGTTTTTGATGTTCTTCGCTGAATCCCCTCGCCGCCTTTAGAGCGGCGAGGGGAGCTCCTTGAAGAAGCGTGAGCTATCCTGCGCTAGGAGCGAACTTCTCCATAGTAGCGAACTAGTCGCCCTCAGTAGGAGCGGTTCGCTAAAAAAGGAGCTTTGATGTTGCCTCATCACCTTCGCAGTTTGCGCTTTGCTATGGGATCTGGTGGACTTGACCATGACTGACCCTGTCATTGCATGAATGGCCGAACCTGTCTTTGAACAATTCCGTGGAACATGTCCCCGGGCACGCAGTTTGCTGATCGCTCTTTGATGTTTCCAGTTTTGCTCTCGGCTAGACATGGCTAGGCCTGGATTCACCGTAAGCGGGTGTCTGTTTTCAAACGTTCCAAGCCACTTACAAACAGAACTGTGCAAGTGTAACGTAGTTTGAATTTCATTCATTCGTTAGGTTCATGTTCGACTGTCGCTAGACTGCTATGCCCCTTCCCCGCCACCTGTGCTACAGGGGCCTCCCTTCCGCTCGTGGTCTGAACAGTGTAAGTTGGGGGTCTTGTGCATAACAGGCAAACAGTGATTGCAGTGACTTCAGTCTGGCTGCCTCGAGCTTGGGCCGCCATGGCACTTCCCTTAATTAGCCACGCTGTAGCCAAGATCACCCAGCCTGTCAAGGTGTTTTTTTGTCAGCAGCTTTAAATAAGCTTATCAAAGGTGTCAACAAATGAACAGCATATGAACATATTGATAGACATCACTTGCCTCGTTTCTGTCGCTTCACTCTCATCGCAGCATGACAGGGCATCTACGAATCACTAGTGTAAGGAGGAGTAGTCACAGCAACTGCATCATCTAAGCAAGAGTGAACGAGCTGTGCACATCAAATTCAATCAACCAAAAACCATGCTAAACTTTGATGCCATTTCAAGTGTTCAACATGACATTTCAAGAGAATCTTTCTTGGTTGGAGTGAGAGATGGAACAAAAACAATGTCCAACACCAATTCATAGCATCGAAAGAGAACCAATAGCTAAACCATGCAAAGGGCGGCTGCGTTGCATATGGCAAACATGTTGCATTGCACAGGTTATGCTACAGTGTTAAATGCAATTTGCCATGCTGACGAAGGTGTTGTGCCACAGCATTTTTGAGCGGGGGAAACTGCACTGGGCATAGCGTATCTCAGCTCTTTCGATAGAAATCCAAAAAAATCCAAGACTTGCTTCATGGAGCAATGAACTGAGTTGTTTCACCTGAAAAAACGCGGGAAAAAGTGAGCTCGGGAGTCTTGGTCAGGCCAAATGGCTGATTGTACATATCATATCCATCTTTGGACTTTGCACAAATGCTCATGAATACGTAACTGGTCAAAGGTTTCCATATATGGAAGTAACATAATTGAGCGCTACACACGTTCTCTTCAACAAATGGCATCCTTAGCGTTCTGGCTTCCACCACAATAATTTGCTTTTTAGTTGATTATCTTGAGTGAATATTCATTTGTCTTCTGATTGGATCCCAAAGTCCTGCAAAGGTAAACAAATGAAACAAACATAGCAAGAGGCATTGTCAAAGTAAATGTGCAAACACGAAAGCCACAACGTACTGAACAGGAACGGATCTGCACTTGTCATCACCAAAGATCTGCTGCCGCAATGGTTGCTGCAAACCCTGAGGTCGAGTCAAAAATGCACAATTTACATCAACAAAATTGTTTCTAATAGCTTCTTGTTCCTAGTAGTAGGGCCAGGAGCCCCTGGTAGCGTCCTTGCTCCTAGTAGCGATGCCAACAGTCTGGAATGGCCGTGAACAACGTCTTTGCATGGAGTGTGACAATGCGCGACTATGCTCCCTATACTATCTGCAGTCATGAACCCAAAGTGAAGACACATCAACTGCGTACGCAACAACCGGTGAGTGTCTAACAACAAGGAAAGACAGAACAATGCTAACAGCACACGAACAAGGAACAAACATAGCGCGGTGCAAAGCCCAACGAAAAAAAGCGATCACAGGTGTGCGAATGAATGAAGCCACCGCGAAACAATATACGATTGTGATCGCAGAACGTTCGAAGAATGGATTGAGTTGATTTTGGATTCACAACAGACATGGGTTTCTGAACCAAGCACAACACGAACCCCTGCAAAAACAAAAGAAACAAAGCCGTGCTGATGTTGGACATAGCTGCATCAGCATCGAGATAAGAAAACAAGACATGGATACAACTGAGCACAGCCTAATATCCTTGTGAACATCAGCGGCGACAGTGCGCGGACAATCTCAACAAGAAACTGGCCTGGAGACGTACAAAACAACTCACCCTTCGCTTGCAAGAGCTACCTAAGAAAGACACTTTAACCAAAGCTCGACCACAATGTCCTAGACCTAAAAGCATCTGCAGCGCTCAAGACTTTTCATAGCACGTCAACGTTCGACCCCGCCCTCGCTTGAACAAAGGATGGCAAACATGGAAAATGAACATCAGGCCCCACGAGCGTTAACGCCAACATGGTGTGATGCTTCAGAATTGCACTGGTCTGGTGTGGTCTAATGAGCCGTCAGGCCCGGGTTCGAGGCCCCCAGTGCAACACTAGACGGACAGGGAGTAAGCGTTGGCCATCGTAAATTGCGACATGACTGTCTCAAGCCCGCCACATCGACCTCCACTCTTCTCAGCAGAGAAAGTGGCGCTGAGCCGGTGGATTGCTTTTCAACGGCTTTTGGCATCAGATGCAGGCTGTGTTGAAGGCCCTGTCAAGCGGCGCCGCTTCGGCGGCTAGTCCTCGGGCGATAGGACTTACCAAGTGCGTGCTCTGTTTCCACCTTGACTCTTGTTCTTGGGAGCATTTGCCCATTCACTGTTGGCGTAGGTGTTGAAGAGAAAGGTCAATGGGGACCTTGAAACAAATTGGCCGTCGCTGCCGCTTTAGTGCACTAAGAACCTTGGAGATCATTCACCGTGAGCTCAGAAGTGTTTTGCGCAGAAGGGAAACATGGTTTCATACTCATGTCACTCGGGGGCCCGAGGATTGTGTGGATGTATCGCTGCCGTCAACGACCCGCACTTCAGCTGCGTCTGACACTTACACCTGTGCTCCAGGAGCGCCTTGAGCGTCTGACTGGGGCAAAGCGCTGGCAAACGATGACGAAGTGGAAGTGGTCTTCTTGATCCTGGTCGCAAGGATCTCCTTCATCTGGTACTTGTCGCCAGCTGCCAACAACAATTTGGAAGTGGAACGCTCGCCCAGCTTGTGTCCGTCCAACAACTTAATGATGCGGGCCGCGGGCCTCCTCTGGATATGGTGGCGTTCGGCCATCAGAAAGGCGACGCTCCAGCAAACGAAAGTGTCGAACAAAGGAACTGAATGGACGCACTCTACAAGCGACCCATCATATTCATATTCAGGTCCTGCAACACGCCAGAGGACTCTTCAAGGTCCTTCACGATCGTCTGAGACCTCTTCAAACTCTTGCTCAGCCTTGACTTTCCACTGCTCACGGGCTTGAAGGGCTTGTTCGCTGGGCGGAAGAAATTCGCTCGTACTTCGAATCCATTGAAGCAATCCCTTCCTATAATGCCACAAACAATGTGAGCCAGCGTCAAGACAGGTTGGGGTACTCATAGGTAGATTAGGGCGCCCCCTATCGGCCCTATCGTTTGTCCGCAAATATAGTCAGAATGGTATTTCCAATGTGGACACAAACGGGATCCTTGATCCTAAAAGCATTTGAACTTACGAGCCGTTGGTCAGCAACGACGGGTGGGTAGCAGCAGTAGCAGCAGCAGACCACCAGTAGACCAGCATAGACCACCAGCACTAGCACACCAAGAGGGGCAGCAAGCCAGCAGCAGGAACACCGGCAAGAGCAACAAGCGGAAGCAAGCAGCAGCAAAAGCAGCCAGCCAGCACAGCAACAGCACCAGCAGCAGCACCAGCAGCAGCAGCAGCAGCAGAAGCAGCAGCAGCAGCAGCAGCAGAAGCAGCAGCAGCAGCAGAAGCAGCAGCAGCAGCAGCAGCAGAAGCAG